GGAAAATGGTGTGAGATGCTAACTACGAATATTCATCTCCATACGACAATTAAATCAAATTTGATAAAACAAATAAAACGTACGTTTGTTTCGGCCACCCTAATAATATCCAAGTCAACACAGGTTAGAGATAAACAGTACTTAAAAGATATTAACACAAATATCAATTCCAAGACGGATAAAGGATGAAATCTTTGAGTCTGCTAAAAATTCATAAAAATCAATTCTGAGATTCCCATTGATGACCTGAATTGCATGTATCGAGCACAAAAACACCAACATAAACCCAAAACACGGTTAAAAAAGCTATCTCATCGATTCATCGATAATTTTAGATCGATCCATCGGCGTTTCTTAATCGTTTATTTCGCCTTTCAATTGTAATCATTTACCAAACTCATCAAAATGATTTGGTAAATAATTGTTGATTTGAAGGTTGAAAGTATGAAATGAAAGTTAAATTTCTATTGCTTCCATTTTTGGGTTTTATCATTTGAATAGTCAAAGTCAACTAATATTTACATGTCAATGCTTGCGATCAAAAATTGACAGAAACATTGAAATTCCCTGTTATTATGAGAATCAGCAATAATTTAGATGTAAACATTGATAAAAAATTCCATAAAATTGGTTCAGAAAATGGTTCTGAAAGTGTTTAGAAATAATGAGTTGTCTTGTCAATTGCAATGTAAAGGTAGATGTTGAATTTGAATTGAATGAACTATTTATTGAATTATATCAACTGCTAAGTCAAATAAGACGTTCAGTTAACTATGAAATTTTGCATTATAGCCTAACATCATTGTTATTACCTTTAGACAGTTGGAAAGAATCATATTTTGAAAGCCTTTTTTGATAAATTTCATCTTCCTATTTGAATTTGACGACCAATTTCATGTTCATTCATCAGAATGGCAATCTAATTGATCGATTAGATACAACTTTAAACTCAACTGTTCAATAAACTCAACAATTAAACCCAACAAGCAGCTATGAAAAAAGTCAACATTAAACTCACCAGTTTTTTAATGTTAAACTTAAAGGTTAAGTATTACAATTTTGGGTCTTGATATGTTATACTTACCTACAATTAGTTTTATTGTGATGCAAATTACCTGGAAAGATGTGAATTGTTGATAAGCTGATTGTAGTCTTTTTTCAAAGGTTAAACTATGAATAAAAAATGAACCGATTATTGATGCTCAGCATTTCAATTTCATTACAATTCATGTATTATAATGTATTCTGGTTTTGATTTGTTTTTATTTTGAAAACGCAAATTTAAATGCAATTTTTTCTTGTCTTCAAATAGACTCAAATTGACTTTGACATTTTAATCAAATTATATTGCTTAACCAATCACTCATTGAACCATCATGAAATTTAATTGTAACCAGATGAGTTCAAAGTCAATATTCACTTTTAATAATCAATTTGATCTTCATTTCAATGAACAATTAAATTGTTATTTATTGCTAATTTCAACATTGGTAATATTTTCAAAATTGAAGAACCATTAAAAGTAAATTTAGTGAAGAGTTTATTTTTTGTAATCAAGTTTAATTGAGATTTTATTTTGATTAAGATTCAAATGGAAGGTTAAATTGCAGTTTAACCATCCATTAAATTGTTCAAGTTAATTAGTTAGATTTGTCAGTTGAGTTTAAAGTGGTTAAATTGAAAATTAGAGATTAAATGAATTAAGAAACAGTTGATTGTGAAAAGAGAGTTGAAGATTTTTAACCAAGATTTGGGTTCAAGTCTATGGATTGAGTTTGCATTTGAATTTCAATTGTTTTACATGTAAATGGATGTGGAACGATTGGAAATATTTCATGGTATGAACTGAACCTTAGATACAAAGATTGAGTTAAGAAATAAACAAAACAGTGGATCGATAAACGATTAGCTTAGCATAATTTGTATACATTTACGTAAGGAAGCAGAAAGAAGGTAAAAATAAGAGGGAAAAAAAGGTTATTCGAGGTTTATTTTTGGGTTAATGGTGATACTAAAGGTATTATTAAATGTGTTATTCAATGTATTACTAAAGATAAGACTAACAATCGTTGAGTTTACATCAATTATCGGATGAAAGGAGAAGTAGAGAAAAAATTGGATGCAAATGTTGATTGAAAATCTGATGAGAGGTTAAAGATTCTCAACATGATGTTGTTTTTTTGCTTTCAATGTTTCAAATGCAGGAAAAGATGTAACATTGAGAATAAACAATTGCTTATTGATTTGTAACATTTGGTAATCCATGAATGACAATGTTTTAATATGGATAAAGGAAGAAGAAAAATAATGGAAAATTGAATGATATTCTTACCTCCCCAATCAAATCCACTGAATCTTTTGACCGAGTCAACCATAAATCTCATGTAATTGGTTACCATGGTACGAAAATCAGCTGACATTTGCATCCTTATATGATAATTATGATTAAACTGAGCTTTTACATGAAATGGATTGGTGATATTGAGGAACACGAAATTGTTAAAATAGAGATATCAAATCAGTGGGTTAACATGGTTCAGGTTTTGTTGTTGTTTTGCTTTTTGCTGGAGTTTTCATGTTGATTGGCTTACACTGTTGAAAGACATTGCAAGACAAATTAACCAATTATAAAATAATAACAATTTATATTTTAAAGGTATTATGTTTAGGCTTTTGCCAGGTTAACCAGGATTTTGCTTGAGTATTTATCAGTGTTGAGTATTGGGTTGAGTTTTGAAGGTAAAAATGTTACTGTTGTCGTTGTCGTTGTTGTTGCTATTGTTGCTGTTATTGTAAAAGTAATGAGTTGATGATGAAGAGTAATTGACTTTTATCATTAACTTGAAGCTTCTGCCATTATTGTAACACATTAGTATTGGCGTGATTATTATTTATTTCACATGAGATTGAGTTGCAGGGTAACACCGAGTAAAAGTGAAATAAAGGCAGAAAAGAGGTAAAATGTAAACATAAATAAACATGATGAAGGGATGAAATGAAATAAATAAACAGATATTCACACAAGGAAATACACAGAGTGAGGAAGGATGAGAGAGGAGTAAAGTTGAACAGCACTGGGGATGATATTGATGGGTATTGTGATGATAATAAGGCAGGATGATGTGAAAGTAAATGTTATCATATGTATATGCAAGAGAGCAGGCAATGTTGTTGTCTTGTGTTCAACTGGAGAGGATGATGATGATAATGTTGATGAGGAAGATGTATTTGACTCCATCAGATCCATCCAAGAATCATACTCAGTATGAGCATGAAACATTATTGGTAAAAATGGTAAAAGACTGAAGAAAGAGAATAAAGAAAGACAGAAACAGAGAAGTGAAAAAAGTAGCATTCACAGTTGAAGGTAAACGAAATAAAACATTTAACTTTCACAGCTAACCAAAGGTAAGCCTTTCGAGCAAACAATATAATCATTTTAAATTTTGAATATAATTGCTCTTCAAATTCACCAATATTTATCAAGATTCATTAGATTTACCATTTGCAACCTTTAAATTGTCTAAATTGTCTGTATTTAATCATGTTTAGTTTTACGTTTGATTTGGGTTTAGGTTAGGTTTAGGCTCTTGGTTTGGTCTTTGACTTTGACTGATTTTGTGTTGACTATATTCAGTTGATTCTTATTGTGTTTTATTGTGATTATGATTATGATTTTGATTTGATTCCATGCTTTAGCTTGTTAACTTATAATCTGAACTTATCCTTTGACCATCACCTTACCTCTTGACTTGTTTTGTTTGCTTAAAATCCAAGAGTTGAGAGTTATCAGATTGTTATATTTGGATCGGCAAACATTTGTCTTTCCTTGTGATTTAATGTTAATCAGGTATGATGATGTTGATAGACCAAATAAATGCTTTAATATTGATAGCATTGATGATATAATAAGGTTACTTGATTGTTTTGGGATTTAAAAGATGCTTTCAACAAATCGATTTTTTCCCTTCCTATTCACAGCAAATTTTGAAAAAGATTAAATTGGTGTGTTTGACAATTGAATTTACCGTTTTGTTGACAGCATAATTAAATTTAGTCAATATCCAGCTAATCAAATGAACTATCATGAAAACATTGTTTGCTAATATTAAAATTGTAAACACAAATTTTTCATTCAAACTTGACATTGTAATGTAAAGATCATATTAACGGGCAATTATTGTTTTAAGTGGTTAATCAAAAAGACTATAAAATCAAATTATGTCTAAACTGATCGATCGATAGATTTTTGGGTGAAAAATTTGATCCTTTGATTGCCTTTAAACACACAAACAGATTGCAGGTAAACACATTTTATTAAACAAAAGGCTATTTATACTGTACAATGTATTTCAATGTGCATTTCAGGCCTTAGTAGGTAAAGTTGTTTGATTTTACCAAGAAAACTGAGACTAATCAAACAAACGATCTCAATGATCAAAGGATTGATATTAAAGGTTGCCAAAGCAGAATTACCGTAAACTGATTTAATTACGAGCAATTTACTTGAAAATGGTAAACATTGGAAAACCTTTCAAGTCGAATGATCATTTTTTCAATTCATAATTTGTTCATGTCTATGATCAACATTGATTTGTTTAGTTTTTGAAGACGAATGCCCTTTTTAACGCGATTTAAACAATCAAAATTGAATTGTTTGCAAATTTGATTAGTGCGAGCTGAGTAAGGATTAAGTAAAGAAATTGTAACTCTTTTTTTCCTTTCAACAATTGACTTATTTTCTTGATTGGTGGTTTTCAGTTGGGAATATGATTACAGCTTGATGAAGAGCTTTAACATTTATTTTTAGCTTTCAATGTGTTTGATGTTTGTTTGAAGCAGCCATGAAGTAGACTTTGAATTTGGTGGACAAATTATCAACATTGGGTTGATGAATATGTTACAAAAAGAGGTAAAATGCATCTAATTGGTGGGATTGGAAAGACATGAAACAATTGATAAGCAATTGATGATGATAGTGGTGAAAATGGTGTCATGTAATTTGAGATTCGTCTAGGAAAGCTTATTTTATAAGCTAAAAATTATCAATATAATAATAGTGATAATAGCATATAAAAACATTAGATCATATTATAATGTAATCATCTATTCGGTTCATGTTATCGGTAGTAGTATTACATTTTTACGTCTATTTTTACTCTAGACATAAACTGATGTAACATAAATGCGATAGCTTTGCTTAGATACACATTTTCGATGTTTTGCGTTTGTTTCGCTAATTATTTTTTTTGGTATCGAAGTTTCACATTACAGTGTTTATCCAAATTGAGTGAGAAAGTGAAGAATAAGCAGAAGAGAATATTTGACGGAAGAAAATGTTGAGCATCAAAATTGTAGAAGTGTTTGCGAGGACTTTTTGATGATAAGAAATTTACAAATCATTTAGATCTAGTTTAGCTAAGCATTGATTGGATTTAGTTAGCAGGGGTTAAAGTTTCCTCTTAGAGAGCAGCATCCAGAATTAGAGTGCAATTGAAACAGATTTAATTCAGATTTCGGTCTTTGATCAAGTTGTTGATGGCATCTTTCAAATTCCAAGGTAAGAATAACAATTTTCAATGGGTTACAGCTGAGCTAATATCCGTCTTTTGGCACAAGCTGCATTCGTAAAGGAATTTTTAATCACGTTTAATCAGACTTTCAGTGTTTATGGCCGTTTCGTCTCCACATTTCGACATAAGTTGGTTTTAATCGCAGGATACTCAAACAAAGATCCAAAAGGCGTCCAAATTGTGATCGAAAGAATTGAAGGCGGCACCAGATGTTAAAAAAAAACCCAATTGAAGAATAGGTTGTAATGTTTAATGTAGAAATGATGATGTAGATTCCATTGAATAAAAAAGCAACCTCTGAGAAGCAGGATACATTAATCAATATTTTTTTCAGAAATGCTAGGAACTAAGGAAAAGTTAGAAAGAATAGTAAAAGTGAAATAAACGAAAAAAGAAAATTTAATGTTGAGAAGTTGCTTAAGTTAAATCTGTATCACAATCAGCTAAAAATGGGTGAGCGAGACAATCTGAAGCCTTGGCACGTTTTTCTGGATCATATTCGAGCATAGGTCTTAGGAAATCAGTAAATTCTTGGGCAATTTGTGGTTCCCATTTATATTTATCAGTTAATACTTCATAAAGACCCCACGGTTTAAAAGATATTATACTTCGAAGTTGACCTGTAAAAATAGAGATGTTAACAATTAATAATCAACAATCAAAAAGACATAATCTATATTTTAAATCTTAAGATACTATTAAATACTGCATGTAGGTTTATTTACCTCTTCTGTTGAAATAATCTTTAGAGTATGTTCCAGCTAAAGCAATGTGACGTGGTATTTCGCCTAAAAGTTCAATTATATGAGCTAAATGATCTTCATCTCTAGTGTAATCGTGCCCAGAATGAGGTTCAAATAAATAATCCCCAGTAGCCAATTCAAATGCCATACAAGCTGTACTCCATATGTCAGCTGGAGCTGAATAACCTGCACCAAGAATTACTTCTAAGCATCGATATTGACGAGTTTGAATATCTTCAGTAAAATGATGATGCTGCCAAGAAAAGTGATAGGAAAATTTTCATTAACAGATGAGTTAAAAAGGAAAATAAAAAGTAAAGGTTGAATGAATGATTAACTTACAATCCAACAAGCATTACCAAGATCAGCAATCTTAACTTTAATATCACATACTTCAACCGATGGATCGGGCATTTGAGTTATAAGTTTCTGATTATCTAAGGTAGTAATGAGATGTTAATAATAGTAAGGGGAGAAAAAAGTAAAAAAAATGAGGTGTTGAGTGAAAAACCACGAAACATTGAAAATTAGTCTAAAAATAAATTAATATACAAAAAAAGCATGCACCGAATTAAGAGGTAAACAAATTACCAGGACAGGAGACAACACGCCTTAAATCGGAGATGGCTTTGGTTGTATCTTTTTTACCTTCACTCGTAGATAAAGTACCTTCTGACCTGCCTTTATCCCATGGTTTCTCTTCATCCACAGCAATAACGGGTTCATCACATTTTTCATTTACAGCGGATGATATACTTTTTGATTTACCATTACAAACCCTTTGGCTAACAGATGATTTACTTGCTAATGAAAAAAAGAGATCGAATAAAAAATGAAACAGATTAGGAAATATGAAGAAACAAATATGAATCCTTATGAATGAGTAAACATGTTAGAATAGAAAAAGATTCATAAAAAATAAATATACTTACAACTTCTGGATGAATGCCCGGAATTATCATGTCGACGTTTGTATTCATCTCCTTTGACATCATCAACTGATTCACTGACAGGCTTACTAACCGAGTTATTAGTTCCATTATTATCATTATTATTCTCGATGAATACGGAAGGTTCGTCAACCATTTGATCAACTTCTTGACTGTTAAATGATCAGAAAATTAAATATTAATTTCATATCATGTAAAAGGTGAAGAAATGAGAAGATTATTATACCAACCTGGTATCGAGAGGCATAGGTTGGTCTTTATTCTGTTCTAACTCTTGGAGTTGCATTTCGAGTAGTTGTTGTTGTCTTTTAGCTTTCTTCTTCAGCTTTTTCTTCTTATTTCTTGATATCTTACAGGTACTGGGTGGCTCAAATTGGTCTTTAGGAGCTGTACAAACCAAAGAACCAGGTAGTCTTAACCCTAATTTATGCAACTGTGTTGCTTCGATAGCTAATCGACGGATGTAATTTTCATCAACCTCGAGTAATATATTTTCCGGCTTAATGTCGGTATGAATTATTTGACACTTTGAGTGAAGATATTCCAATCCTTGAAGTACCTGGAAAAAATGAGATTTAAAATTCGTTATAATTTGATTGATTTCACATAGAAAAAGCAATCATTTACCTGTTTAATAATAGATTTCACATTTTGAAGAGGAATTCCTTCGTAATTTGAACGGATAATAAGCTTGAGAAGATTAGATCCAAGAACTTCGAAAACCATACAAACATCTGAGAGTAAAAAAACGTAATTCAATTTAGAATTTCTCTTGAAAAATTAACCAACGGAGAGAAGGTCTGATACGTACGGGTTCCATTAACTCCACTGATTCTAAAATCATCCAGTAACTGTACAACTTTGTTTCGATGTAGATCATTTGGATCACTTTCCCTGACCTTCGAGAACCAAAAAAGTATTCAATTGATTGTGAGTATTAATAAAATGCTTAAAATAAGACACGATGAACAGAGTGAACAAAGTGAGAGAAGAATTTTTAAAATATCATAAGACTGATTACGTTTCTTAGTAATTTAATTTCATCAACAGCAGTCTCAGTATAGTGCACAGCACTTTTCACCACTTTCAGAGCAACGAATCGTTTTAACCTATAAATAGAGAGTAAAAGGAGAGAAAGAGTGAGAAAGGTATCACAATCAAGGGAAATACGGAAACAAGAATATAAATAATTAACATAACATTGCTTTAAATGCAGAGGAGAAAACTCAAAATATGGGCAAAAGTGTGTAGGCAAAAAGAGGAAGGATAAACTTGAAAAAGAAAATATTTACACAAGATCCCAGCTCAACCAGACTGTTGAAAAGTGTCCCCAACCAAGTTTACGTATGACATGGTAACGAGCGTTGAAAACATCACCGATTTTTACTGGATGATAACCACCTTTTTGGTAGTCAGATGGATCTTCTTGTTCATCTGAATCTGACACATACGGTTCTTCATCATCATCTTCACAGTTATTGATTCTCGATCCAACGGGTGGAGCCGACGGAGGAGGTGGTGGCGGTCTAAAAATAAAGAGTAATGAGTTTGGATTAAGCAAAAGCGATAAAAGTGCATTATGATCGGAATACAATAAGAACGCGAAGTGAATTCAAATGACTGAAATTAAAACTATTGCTCACATAATAAAAGATAATTTACTGAAAGCAAGTAACAAAGTAAGCAAAATTATGGGTGACTCTTGCAAGACTAATAACTTTTTCTCAAACTGAATGGATGAGAAGAAATTAAAATAACAATGTAAAAAATGAAGAATAAAAGCTTCAACTTACTTGGTAACTCTCTCTTGTGTTTTTTGAGCTTCAGTGTTTCGTTTTGTTTTGGTTGGTTTAGAACGCTTCTTTTTTGCTTGGATAGCGAAAACTGCAAAAAATAAGATGAAAACGCACCACGAACAAGATTCAAACATCGAAGATGATATTGATTGAAATGATGAAAGAGAATAAAAGATAACGAATAATTTATATTAGATAATGAAAATTCGATAAATGACAAGGAAAGACAGAAGGATGAGTATAAATTTAAGAATGTGAAATAATTACCTTTTGGGTTGTCAACTCGATTCATGCTTTTCTTTCAAACAGAATACCATGTAAAACGTAAACCTTCAAAAAAGACCCAAATAAACCATAAGACACAGAATAAATAACCATTCAAATAACACTGCGGTTTAGGTAATCTATCAAATTAAGTTTAACATAGAATACAAATTACCTTCAAAAATGTGAACTAGAGTAACGGAATAAACAGGTATAATTATAAATTGAAATAAATTAATACATAAAATTACAAGCAAATGAATATAATTAAAGGATGATAATGTAAATAAATGTATACAAATGAAGTCTCAATGTGAAAATGTAAGCTAAACTTGAGCGCCCTCACATAATAAGGTTATACATCAGAAAAGCGGTTACTTCGAAACATAATTAATCCAAACGAGTTAAAACGCAATTTAAACTGATGAACGCTTGATATAAACCATTTTTTAAATGACACAAACCCAATAAATTAATTTCTTTAGGATATTACAATCAAACAGTATTTAAGAGACAATTAGAAAGAGTTACATTAGCAATTAAAAACCTAAATTAAGATAGTCAACAGTAAACTACTAACTGATACTCAAATTAGAACCCTTTTCTGATTGTTATTTTTTATTCTTAGAATCCGCTCATCAGATTAATTTCTCGATAAATCAATAAATTGATGTAACTTGTTCAATTTGATTTGATTGTATTGAAAGGATAAAGATTGTCGAGTTTAAGTCGAGAGTAATTGGTTATTATGAGGAACACTAGATGTCAGTAATATAGCCATATGTAAAAGTGAAACTCGCGTTGAGTTTGAATGTTAAGTTGTTTACAGTAATTTATTTGTAATTAGATGATTTTTTTCAATTTAGCTTTGTAAATCTAATAAACTGTTGTCACCTATTAACATATTGTAATTAAATTTCAATGGAAAGTATAAAATATTTAGCTAAAAACCTGTCTTTCATCATTCCAATTGGATTAACAATGACTGATCGTGTTGTTACAATTGCTCAAGTTGATGGTGAATCAATGCAGGTAAATATTGTTTCATAATTTAAATTATGCTTCCAATTAATTGAAAGGTTATAACCCAAACATATCCTTAGCTTGTCTACCTACACAATTTAATTTGTTAATGTCAACTCTATTTTCCTGATGTAAACCTTAAATCTCTCTCGCTCTACAGCCTTCATTTAACCCCAAGGATAAGGTAACAAATGATATTGTCCTAATTAATCGTTGGTCTGCCCGTAATTTTCATTTCAAACCTGGAGATATAGTTGAGATAAAGTAAGTAAAACTGTCTAATTGTCTAATAATTTACAAACTGTCGAAACATCTTGTCTTTGAAATCTTAACGGTCTCATACAGTTTTCAATTTCACGTGAGTTGAACCTTCTGTGAAGATTTTATAATATTATGGATTTATCATAATTTTATAAGTTTAACCGATTTTTTCCTGAAAATCAATCAATATTGATTCTCAGTGAATCCATTTGAGTAAATAACGAGCAATTCCATTATTTAATTTATTAAATTGAATAAAATGAGCGTCAATTGACTTAATAACCAACAATCAGCTGTTGGAATATATTTATTTGTATTGAAAATTTGAGATGATATGATTTATCTATTAACAAGCGATTCTATCAAAATAAATGCATCAATAATTACAATTTTGGGTGATTCTGAGTTTTGATTATTGTTTCTTCTTTCGCTAATACAAAGAAAAAATCAATACAATCAATTTCAATAAAAGGTTTTCAAGAGCATCAATAAACCAAACAAAAAGTGGAACATATTGATATCATAAAGCAAGAGTAATGTTTTCTTATAGCAAAACAGTTCAATTAAATCGTTAATTTTAATAAATTATTTCATCCTCAATCAGTTTTCTTTCTTTACAATCAATATTCCTTATGAAACAGGATAACGTTGATAATGTTGTTGACAGTGAAACAAAAAGTAGAAGTGATGCCAAAGATTGATGCTGATCCAAATAATTTTGTGACCAGAATGTTAATTCTTGGAGAAGCAATTGTATTCACTGTAAAAGTCAAACTGCAATTACCTTTAATGATGATAGTGATGCACATAAATTGAACATGATTTTTATTTGATTGTTCCTGTTGTTGTCATTGAGATGAACAACCACTTTTAACCCAAAAATATCTCCTTATACTAAACACAATTAACGTCCAATCCAATCTTTCTAATTACGTTTTTTTTGGGTAAACCTTTTCTTACTTGACTTTCCTTAGACCTTTTGTATGTACAAACAAAATGTTATCCACAATTACGCACAATAATATCAGGGAACCAGAAAAAGAAACCACAGAAAACACTCCAATAAAAGATTCTTATGGGAATTAAACTTAGATTGCATATATTTAATTCGTTCCAATGAACCCAATTATCTTTTATAACCTTCTTTACATAACATTATATTAAATCTTACTTTTTGGGTTATCTTTTTGCTTCTCATCACCAATCAGCCTTACTTTTCATCTCACAACTCATCATTATAACATAACAATGTTCATCTTCTTGTCTAATAACAATACACTTTCAATGTGCATACAATATAACAATATATTTATCTCTATATATTTGCTTATTAAAAAAATTTCCATTCTTATTACAATATCAGAAGTCAGTTCAAATGTCTTGATCAAAAGGTATATTAGCTAATGGTATTGGATCCATGTTTTGAACCAAACTCTTCTGTGGCGTTTCAAAGTGTCGCTGTTGCTGTACACGATTAACAACCAGGAAAACCCTTCGAGCACCAAGCACAGTAAAGGCAAGAATAACAATGGACAAAGCAGTTAAAGACAAAGTCAAAGCAATGGCAATGTAAGAAGAAGTTTCTGGAGCAAAGGAATCGTGAAGAAAGGAATGTTCACTTTTGGAAGTTGAAGAAGACGAAGAAGACGAGGAATAAGTCAAAGAGGAATCAGAAGAAGTAGTGACCAAAGTACAGCTCAACTGAATATAACTACCATGAGATTCGGAATCACGAACAGCAATGCAAAGTTTATACCGTTTTCGAGGCTCCAAATGGTCTATTGTATAACTGCGAAGATAATGTCCAACAGAAATGGCTTCAAACCGATCACTTGGATCATCCTCATTCTTGTACAATATTTGATACTCTGGCAGTGAACCCGATGTTAATGTTGATACCACTGAGGATGAGATGGGTGAAGCCAATGATGAGGCCAACAATGGTGATGGTTCTGAGGGTGAGAACGATTGAGGCAAGGAAGAGGTCAACGGTGATGTACCATTCCAAACAACTGAGACAAAAGTGGAGGAAATTCCTAGAGGCCAGATTTGCACCTTAAAGTGTTCAACAATCAAATTGAATGTAACTTCAACTGAACCCTGCCTATTCTCAGCTATACATTTATACCTTCCTGAATCACTTAACCTTAAATGATTCAATCTCAACTGATTTGTTGATTTAATCAATTGTACATGAGATGTTGCTCCCACTGATGAGGATTCATTGAAGATATCACCTGAAGGTAAAATCCATGTTATTGATGGTGTTGGCTGGCCAATTGCACGGCAGTTTAGGTTAACTTTGTCACCAATTGAACCATTCAGGACAATTGTTTCATTGGAAGACAATGGCGGCGTTGAAATGATTATTGGTGCACATTCACTTGGTATTGCATTAATATCAATATCTTTAATTGCCAGAGTTGTTTTATTGGCTGGATGGTAACAAGTTAATTTATCACTATTAATTAATAACACTTTACTTGGATTTCCTAAATTTAGGCACTGGATTAATGGAAGGAAAAGACAAAGGAAAAGGTTGAAAAAAAGGAAAAGAAAATTATTTAATGATGTTGATAGTTAATTTAATTATCAGCTATTAGTTAATTAAATGATGGATCATTGAAGCAACCAAGCAACCTTAAGTTGAAAAGTCATTTTTAATTTTTCACTTTCATCTTTCATTGATTTTACTATTTAACAATTCCAATCAAACTGATCTTCAACATTATCATCATTAATATCATAATCGTTTGAAGTAATTGATTTTGTCAGGTCAATTCCATTGCTAAATCGATTGGATTTTGTTAACTAAACATTGACCCTTCAATGAGATAAACTGTTTCAACTTGTCATTTATCAATTGATGAAAAAAGATGTTGATCAACAATTTGAGCCAATTTTTGCTGATTTAAGCGTAAAAATGGTATTAATTAATGCTTATGAAGCTAAAAATATCTACAAAAGTAAACCTAATCATTGGTAAAGCTTCATTGTGAATCCATGTTAATCTGATGAAACATTCATTAGTAATATTGAAAATTTATAAATTCATAGAAATGATCAGCAATCGAATTGATTTTCTCTTGTTTTCACCAAAAGACAAGATCATTCAACCCATCATTACAATCAGGAAATGTCTAAAATCTAGAAACTTGAACCTTAAATATTGATTCAAGTTAACTTAATAATAAAATTGAAGTTGAACAAAACAAGGATAACTTTATTAACTCTATCAAAGCAAAATGAAACTCTTATTTCAATCAGAACAAAAAAAGGTCGAAAAAATTGTATCATTAAACTGTTCGTTAATAAGTTGCTATTTGATTAACTTTATAAACTTGAAAATCGATTGGCATTATTGATAAACAACCGTTCAACAATTGAGAGCAAAAAAGTGACATTAATTGGAGAAGAATTTTTTTTCTACTTTTCCAACTTTCAGTTTCAACTGTAATTGTGAGTTGAATAATGATGAAGACAACATTTCTCTTTACACCTTTACCTGTGTCAATTGGATACAATTGCATCATGTTACCAATGTAATAATAGAAATGAATTTGTTTCGTTTCAATTATTTCTCCAACCATGAAACTGGGTTGACTTTTCAGAGTTGCTCATTTAACCGTACACTTGTAAAGGTCTGTTAATTGATTGAAATGCAAATCAACTCACCTGATGAAGATAATGTAAATTACAATCACAGAGAAGAAGATTTGCTTCCAATGAAATGGTTAAAGGTTCGCCTTGATGTTGCTGTTGTTGTTTCAAATGGTGATGATGATGATGATGGTTAACATGTGAGTTACCATGATGACCATGGTAATGATTATTTTGATTAATTGTAACCTTTTGGTTGTTGATATTGTTTACCAATTCACTGTCTAGTGATGGCAAGCAATTGTTTTTAAGGTAAACTTGATTCAACCTCGGTGTTCCAGTAAAGGCAAAGTTGTCAATGTAACGCAATTTTGGGTTATCGGTTAGGTTTACTTGGGTTAAATCTGGTAAATCCCAGAATGCCATTCTTTCAATTGAAGTCAACTCTTTACAATAGGAAACAGTTATTCTGTTTACTGGAAGATGAACAAAATCCCGAGTGTTTAATACTGTTAACCGATTTCCACTTAAATTAACATCTTTGATTCGTTTCAATGATTGTAATGCTATTGTGGGCACTTTGGTTAATTGATTGAAAGAAAGGTCTAGAGTTTCCAGCATTTCCAGTCCAACCAGTGAATTGTCATCCAAGGTGTGTAAAGAGTTTCGAGAAATGCTCAAATGTCTCAGATTGTTGAGTGAAGTAAATATTCCTCCAGTCAGATGGGTTATACTGTTGCCATCCAAGTTCAACACCTGCAACATGGAAAATATAAACATTTGAATCATTAATGGTTCAACTGAAATTGACTGTTTAGCTAATCTTATTAATCATCCTTTACTTGACTCTTCATCGACTTTTCCTGTTAATCTTCAAGTTTGCTTTAACAGTTTGTATTGAGTCTTTTGATTCACATTGGTTTTGCATTATTGTGACAACATTTATCTTCAACAAGTTTAGGCTTTAATTGATTCAACAAAGTTCATCAAGGTTGCTAATTTTTCATTTCAAAGTGACAAGTGTCAACATTAACAGATTCAAAGTCTAAATGATTCAACTGATTCAACATCAAACTGTTTTACATCGTTGATGCAACTCATAACCTTTCATTAATGGCAACCAGAGCTGAAACAGACTAGAGTTGGTTTGATTCTGGGTTGCATTTACGTAACACAAGCAGAGTCAGTGACTGATCTTTTTTACCAAAAATGAATTAATAATATTTTCCAAGTCTTTGCATATTGTAAGAAATGAAATATACTTGACCCTGCATCGAGATTTGAATGTTTAGGCTTCGCTCTTGTGTTTTGATAACTTCGTTGTGATTTAACTGATTTAGATCAATATGTTATCTCAATACTTTATTCAACTTTAAAATCTTTTGTCTTGACTTTCCATTGCTTTAGCTATTTTCATTTTGTTTTGTCATCTTCAGCTGCATTTATCAAAGCTGATTTTGTACCTTGAAAGTGACAGTTAATGTCTAAATGCTGGACCTTAGTTTACGAAATTCATCATAACCCATCCTCAAACTAATTATTTGATGGTTAGTAGTTGATTTGATGCGGATAAACATTTGACAAAATATGAAAGAAAAGGTCACTCCATTTCAACCCAATATTTGAACCTTTTCATTTGCATCTTTTAAAAATTGAAAGCGATTCATTCATGAGAAAAAAAACAGATGATTTAGAGTTAATTTGATCATTTCAATAGTCAACTTGGTAAAAATTGTTTTGTGACTTTGGCTCATTTAAAGACACGCATTTGGACAGTTAAATGAAAAGTTGACGCTTAAATGATTAGATGAATAAAAGTTGTTTCAAGTCAACTCACAACAATAACTGATGAAAAATTGAATCATGATTAGGAAACAGTTGAATGAGAAGGTGAAAAGGAGTGAAAGAAAAGAGGAAAAGAGCAGAAAAAATGAATCATTTATTCTGTCTGATATAATTGCAATTTCAAGTTGATCCATTATTTTCCCTATTAATTCATTTTCGTGATTTCAATTTTTCCCTTTTTCACTTTACAGCTTTACAGATTTAAAAATGATAAAAGAGATCAACTTTAACTTGATAACTGGGAGTTGATGATAATCTCGACTAACTGTTTCAGATAATCTTATCCTTTGTGATCATTCAACTTTTCATGAGGTTTATCCGTGCGTAGTTAAACTCCATTCCTAAAGTTGATTATTTACTCTCCTTTCAATTGGTCAACATTTTTGCTCCATTCATGACTGATTCGCATTTCATTTAGAATTGAATCTCAAAAATATTTTCCAATTAAGTGTCAAAGTGTATCTTGTGAGCGGTCAATTAATTCAAGTTTGACCTTAGTATTGAAGGATGAGATTGGAATCAGCTTTTTGTTGGAAAGTTGATTCGAAATGAAAAAAAAGGTAACGTCAACTGAATGCGAAATGAGATGAAATAATTGAAGAGGATTTAATACAAATAAATTGGATAAAAAAGGATGAAGGGAAAAGATGGTAAAATAAAAGCACAAAGAGTAATTCAGATTAATTGGAAAATCTGATCATGAAGTGAAAGTAAAGCTTAATTAGAGTAAACAATATAACAATCATAATGAATCAATGTCTTGAGTGTTTGAGACACACTTGCGAGGGTTCAGTCAACTTTGAATTGTTATCAGAATCTAATCAATCTTGCGTTTTTTCAAACTTTTTTCCCTCTCTTTTCGCTCAACATTAATGAAATGAAGAAGCCAAGAGAAACAAATTGCTTTAATTATTATCAACTTTAATTAGTTTAACCTTTTAAAATTTACAATGATATCGATCAGTCAAGAGTCTGAAAACTTTGAAATAACTTTGCAATTTCCATTGTTAAGTAGACTTAAGTCAATGTTTTCATTTGCTGATTTTAAGCGCATTTTAATTGTTTCTTTCAAGCAAATTAGTCTCAAAAAGCAATCGATTTCTTGTTGCATTAATAATGCAAAATAATCTTGAAGCTTTCAACTTTGAATCAGATTTTTATTTTCAAGACATTTCAGTTTACTGAAAGTTTAAGTGATTAGCTTTGAAAAACTATGAGTTAACTGATTTAATCAGTTAAACTTTGACTCAATTGATTGAAAAGTATTTGGACCACAATAGAGCTGATAGTGAGTATTCGAATACTCGATTATTCGATTATTTTTCAACGCGAATAACCTGCTCGGAAAAAGTTTGGTACAAATTATGTTTTATTGATTGTTCAATTAGTAGTTCGGAATAATTACACATTCTTTATATCATTCAAAAGCTTAGGATCAGCACTTTTCTCTCAAAAAACTTAATCCACCCTCAGAGGCAAGATTAACTTTTTCTTTCATGTTTTTCGAATGAGTATTCGAATAAAAAAAAATATTCGAATGTAGATTCGAAATATTCGCAAAACTATCAGCTCTAGACCACAATATCTCAAAGTTGAAACACTTGGGATTTGCCATCGAGTTTATATCTCATACTTCTTGAAGCAGTGGAACTATATCTGATATATTTTTTAAGATCAAGTCATCTTTAATCACAGATTAAATTTGTACGATCAGGGTTTCGATTTTGAACAGTTACTCAAGTAAAAAAGATCGAAATGGACTCTAAGCGAAAAAAAAAGTCTTGCGAAAATGAATAAACTTATCCTAACCTAACCAAACCTAACCTTAATCAAACCTCAAGTTGACTTTTTACTGTACAATTTTTATCGTCATATGCTGCTGTAGGGTAGGAAACTGAACTTAGGAAATTTGTTCAATGCCTTTCTCTCAACTTGAAATCGTTAGATTCATTTATATTTAATCATTAATTTTAATTCATTTTAATTTCATTTTATTGTATTCCCTAAATTGCTCTAACAATATGGAAGCCTCTCTGTCTCTAACCATGAAATTCAATATCTTAGGATATATTAATTAAGGTGTAAAAGTGCAGATAAATAAGTCTAATCTTAGTTGTTAGTTGACCACAAGATCCAACTAATTTTACCACAAAATTAAGAAGCATAAAATTGGTGCCATAAAGAAAGAGACTGAAAAATCACTCTCTTTTTATTCCCTTTTTTAACCTCTGATTACTTTTACCCCTTAATCTGGTTTATACTAAAAAGGCTATCTCCATCTCTCTTGAGATATGGTTTAACCCAATGATGTCTTTAGACATGTATAAGGTTGAAAGACGCCATAGCTTTGGTAACGCTAAAGAGTGTTGAAATCACCTTAGTCATACGAGTATGGTACGATCACCAATTTACCAGACATTTACAGACAGAGAAGTCTTTTCACTTTCTTAATTATTTCCCTCCAAATTTTCTCTTTTGTTTTAAGATTCACATAAATAGAACCCCATATTCATTCTGTTTTTCACTTCTCTACACTCCTTTACTGTTCATCTTTAATTTGTGTCATTGAAGTCCCCCTTCCTTAATTTCATACAAATTCTCATTGTATTCAGCCATTTACCTCTCTTATGAAGTTAACCAAATTCAGGCTATTCTTATAATTGTTCAAAACTCATTAAAGTTATATATTCCTAAATACTTTAGTATTATATTTTGTGTCTTCATCTCTTTTGAGATATTCTCGAAACGCGGAAAAGTTAAGTTAATCAGTGAACTATTGGTGATCCTGTATACGAACTCTAAAATTAGTAGTGAAAGCTAATTGTGCAGTCTTTGAATCAGAAGCCTACCATAAAGAAACCTTTCACTTGGCGACTCTGGCAGGATTATCATTGTTTCCTGACCTCAACAATTCTGTGTTTTCTCAAGTCTCTGTGTTCCTTCAATATCTCTTCACTTAAGTGATTCTCTAAAATTAAGTCCACAATCTTTCCATTTCAAATTCAAAATTCTCACTTTCTCAAGTTCTTACAAAATTCAAAATTGTGCTTAACTCCTGATCTTAAGTAAATGCGGAAAGGATCCTTCGATCAACTATTTCGTGATAGAACCAAGACTCTGACTCTCTTCGACACAATTCCTTTAGGAATATAACTTCAAATTTCAATTTCAACAAAAGCTGCATGTTCAGCTTATTTAACATTCAACATTTCAAATTCCGAACAATTCAAACCCCGAACAATTAAACATTCCAATTTCCATTCAACATTCAAATTCAACTCTAAACATTCAATTTCCATTTCAAAATCCAAACTTCTTACCATCACTTTAGTGATATAAATTTACTGCATCTTCCGAACTCTTTTCAACAATTCAAATTCTGTAATCAATCAATATGACAAGAACCACAAGAGCTGCAAATCGTTTTGGTCTTCCTAACCATATTCCAACTGTCGCTGGTATAAATCAAGCTGGAGCAATTGAAATTCTCAGTACTTGGTCTGTATCTGTTGGCTTACCCATTCTTGCTATAAAACGTTTGCATGATTGTATTCGTACTCATTGTATGATCGCTGGTGAAAACCTATCTAAAGAAGATATACTTGATCTGTCTGTCGAAAGCGTAACTGCTGCCGAGATTCCTGATTGGCTACAAGCATGTCGTACTAGTGGAATGACTGAACAAGAAATTCATACCATTATTCAACACATAGGACGAGAAAGAGAGGTATTGTTAAACTCTACATATGAGGACATTCATTCATTACCAATTCCTATTGGTTCAATTCGTAAATTCATAGAAGTTTTACGAACTCTCGGTGCTCGCATCGAACCCCCTCCTATTCCTCAACCTCCTAATTCTCCTACTATTGAAAGACCCCGTTCTGTTTCTACCCCTTCCAATGTCAGCC